ATGATAAAAACAATTCCAGATGTAGAGCCATTGCGAACACACCCTTTTAGGGGCGTGGCAGCCATATTGAAAAAAGGGGGGCGGGGTTCTCATTATGCCCAACATGGGAAAAGTGTGCCCACATCTCATAAACGAATGAAGCTAATTTCCACAGACATTAATACTCACGAGATAAAAATCACACGTGGAGCCATCGTAAACACACCCTTTTAGGGGCGTGGCAGCCATAATAAAATGGGGGGGGGTAGTCATGATGCCCCTATAAAAGAAAGTTGTGCCTACCTTTCATAAATGGATTAAATTCCACTCGGACAATACATTCATAAAAATCTTTTTTTTTTAATGTGAGGCCATCACAAACCTACCCTTATAGAGGTGCGGCATCCATTTTTAAAAGGGGGGGGGGTACTCAATATGTACAACGTGGAAAATTTTGACCGCGTTTCATATAATAAAATCCACCTCAGATAGCTGTTTAATGTGTTGGAGTAGGGCCGCCTTTATAGTTGGAATTTACTGTTGTCAAACCCTTTGTTTTCTTACACTATGCATTCTGGCCTCATCTATATTAACCCAGTTACTGGTTCTTTCATTTGTAGAATTATTGATAAACTTTCAACTGCATCAATATCTGAATTAGGGGTATAAACTGGGGTACCTCAGTTAGTCCTGGAAAGACTAGTGTTACTTCTTCAAATACATTGTTTCCCCTGCCTTTTTTTCTGACAGACCAAAAGGCATATGCAGTGTCGCACCTGTATAACGTATAATTTTTTTTAGTGGATTTGGTCGGGGTAAAAAAAAACACTCATAAGAGCTTGATATACCATTTTTAAGAGAACAGAGGTGTTGTGTGGTGGGGGTACACAGATTCATTGAATGTGAAGTCATAGTGGACATGTCCACCACTTTGTGAGGCGAGTACATCGTGTTGTTACCCAATCTGCTGTCAATGCAGCGCAACGGGTAAGGGGTAGGGGGATTTTACACTCCCCCCCCCCCCGTAAAAAAAGGATTTCCATGGCCCATTAATGTTAAATGTTAGAGTTTAGGGCTGCCATTGTGTGCTGTGTATTTGTAATTATGAAATCACTCTGGAATTTAGATGTGCATGATAATATAGGTGCAAGTACACACATTGAACAACATAACACGGGTTAGCCTACCGGTACTTACCCATGCTCTTTGGGGTAAGTCATTGTATTACGAAATAATATAGGTTATGGGCCAATCAACATTATAAGAAATCAACAACAAAATATAAAAATTGCAATTGTGGGCACAGTGAGTAGGCCCCTCACACCTCTAAAAGGATGAGTTTGCTGTGGCTCTACATAAGAACTTTCTTTTATAGGGGCATCATGACTACCCCCCCCCCCATTTTACTTTGGCTGCCACGCCCCTAAAAGGGTGTGTTTACGATGGCTTCACGTGTGACTTTTTTTTTCTCTTGAATATTAATATCTGTGGGAATTAGCTTTATTCTTTCATGAGATGTGGGCATTTTTTTCCCATGTTGGGCATAATGAGAACCCCGCCCCCTTTTTTCAATATGGCTGCCACGCCCCTAAAAGGGTGTGTTCGCAATGGCTCTACATCTGGAATTGTTTTTATCATGAATGTCAATGTCTGTGAAAAGTTCCATTTCTCTATGAATGTGGGAACAATATTTCCAGGGTGGACATAATGAAAACCCCGCCCCCCCTTTTTCTGATATGGTTGCCACGCCCCTAAAAGGGTGTGTTCGAGATGGCTCCACATCTGGAATTTGTTTTCTCATGAATGTCAATGTTTGTGGAAAGTTCCATTTCTCTATGAGTGTGGGAACAATATTTCCAGGGTGGGCATAATGAAAACCCCGCCCCCCTTTTTTCCCTATATGGTTGCCACGCCCCTAAAAGGGTGTGTTCGAGATGGCTCCACATCTGGAAAATTTTGTTCTCATGAATATTAACGTCTGTGGGACGTTTTATTCGTTCATGAAATATGGGCACAATGTTTTCCAAAGTGGGCATAATAATTAAACCCCCCTTTTCTTGTAATGGCTGCCACGCCCCTAAAAAGGTACTTTTGTGGTGGCTCCGAATCTGGAAAACACTAATAATCTATATAATTATGTGTTTGTGAAGTTTCCTGCTTTTGTAACAAGTGGGAAAAAACATTTTTACTGCGGGCACGACAAGTCCCGCCCCCCTTTTTTTAAATGGATGCCACGCCCCTAAAAGGGTAAATTTGCGATGGCTCCACATCTAAAACATTTTCTCGCATGAATATAAACATCTGTGCCAAGTTTCACGCTTTTATGCAAAAGTGCACAATTTTTTCACATATCCGCTGGACTAATAGGCCTATATGTATTTGAAACAAATGAAACAAAATATCCCCTCATAATTTAAAAAACTTCTGCTAAAAAAACCAGGGGAAAGTAGCCAGGAAACGCCTCAGATTGCACCACAGAGCATCTACGATCCAAAATTTCCCGGGGCCCTTAAGCGGGCCCCGGACCCCACGCCGTAAGTGCTTCGCGCTCCGCGCTCGCATTGGTCCTCCGGCCAAATTAATCCCGGGACATACCGTTATTTAGTTTTACTGTTTTGGATTTCCTCAAAAACAAAACAACAGTAAACGAACCATTGACTGTTTTCTCGTTTTACAGTTTTGTAAAAAAAAAACGGTCAAACGGTATTAAGTAACACACAAAAAATACTTTTTGTTGTTTTTAATTGTAGAAAGCGTTAAACGGTTAGTTGCTTTATTTTTAGAGTGTTGTTTTACAAAATCATGACAATGACAAAACGGTCAATAGTCTTACCGACCATTTTTTTATTTTAGGTTCGGCAATTAAGCAATGCACCGGAATGTTAATTAATGCGTCCTTGGGATCGAGTCATTGCCTGGGCCCCGCTCCTTACATTTAGTTCTCACGACAAAATTTGCGAATTGGCTATTGAAGAGCCGCGTCGACTTGAACCCCAGTTTCCTTCAAAATGTCTGCAACTTCATCAAATGTTTTATGACCATCCTGTTTCCATTGTGAAAAGTAATGTCCTCCCTTGAAGTTTTCCAGCGCCATTTTGCTTGGAACTCTTTAAGCCCCACCAACTTGTCTGAATCGCATGAGAAAGGGGTCAGGGTCCGCGCCAGGAATCACGTCACGCATTAATTATGCCGAGGTAACACTTCTTCGTGCAAAACATGGTCCCCCTCCACCCCCTTGCCCACCGCCACAAAATGCACCACGGACTGTTAACCACGACACTGGAATAAAAAAAACAGTCTGTATTTGTGTAATCTGTAAAACAAAAATCATTGATCGTTATGCTATAATGAATTTTACTAAACTTATAAAACGGAGAAACCGTATTTATCTTAATACCGCTTGTCGTTTTATAACACTGTAAAACGACAAAACGGTCGATGATTCGTTTACTGTATTTGTTTTTGAGGACATCCAAAACGGTAAAACGAAATAACGGTATGTCCCGGGATTCAAATTCCCTCTATGGTATAATTTCACCCTAGCGGTGCCCCCACCATTTTCTACCTTCAGCAGCGAATGGCTCTACAAGTGGCATAAATCCCTTTCCAAAATAAAAAATTGTGAAAAAATACGGAGATGGAACATGGTTCTCAACTTTGAGTACGTAACAAACTTTATTAACCAAAAAAAAAATAACAAATTTAAATGGAATTTTCGATGTTTAAAACGTTTTCTAAACGGTGGAAGTGGCCAGGAATCGCCTCAGATTGCACCACAGAGCATCTTAAATCCAAATTTTTCCGGGGCCCTTAAGCGGGCCCCGGACCCCACGCCGCAAGGCCTTCGCAGGTCCTGGACCCTTCATTACAATAATTGTAGGCCCTCCGGCAAATGGCAGTCTGAATCCGCTCCTGTGACCAGAGCGCATATGTATCCTGTATCTGAAGTTTGGCCTTAGGGGTGGGGGCGGTTTACACAAAGATTCCCAACGGATGAGAATCATGAAATCCAGAGGACGAAGCTGAGTGATTTTAGCCAATAACAAGAACAGATCATAGCACTTCCGCAGCCCGTGTCACTTTTTTTCTTGAATTTCTTCTTTTTTTTGGTTTAAATGCTGTTGAGGGAGGGGACTGCCCATATTGACCCCTTTACTCATAATGTTCATCATACTCTAAAGACACAGAACATTTTTTTTCCCGATTTACTATGCTTTAGCTCAAAAAGATAACTGATGGTCGTGGGTTTCCGGCCCTTCGAGTTTAACCCGTCCAAATATACCCTCTTTTATTTCTGGCGCCAACACAAACTCCTGACTTTTATTTTAGCGTAAAGTTTAGCCCACTGATGTACCATCTTCATTTCTAGCGTCATAAATGACGACATCCAATTTTGAAACACCCCCCTTGAAAAAATCCTGCGTACGCCACTGCATGTAACACGTTAATTTGGGAGCGCATGGAATGTCACTAAATAGGCCTGTAACTCGGACGAACATCACGCGATGTAATGGCATTATGACCTTCGACAATTCTAATGAAATAGTATCACACAACACATAATACACACAAATGCAAAAGAAAATGAACGCACGTGAATATACATCTGAGTAATCTGTAATATTAACTCATCGTTCCTCAACCATTCAACCGACCAACCCTCGAATCATCCATCCAGTCAGCCAGTAGGCCAACCAACAATTAAGCCAACCGACAAACCGACAAACAAACAAACCAACTGACAACCAAATAATATATAAGTTTACTGTGTAAATATATAAATTTTAAAACGGCTCTTTTAATTATTCTGTGTACATTATTGACTATTCTGTGTAGGTTTTGGAATGTAGGCCCTCAGGTACAGTTTCTGTAAAGTGTCTCTTTTCAGTCTCCAAATTTAGAAAAGGAAACTGTTTCAGAAAAAAACGGGATTTCAGGTACAACTTTGCAAAATGATAACTTTTTTTATTACAGATAATAAGCTTATCCTCCATTCAATAATGAAGACTCGGCATCATGCCTTACATCTCCGATTGTTGCATCCCAACGACTCCAGATGCTGGGAAAATGAAAGTATAAGAAGCAAACCGTGAATGATCTCCACTGTTTCAACATTATGAAAATGATAAACATCAATAGTAACTACACAAACAAAATCCGAAGTAATGACACAGAAACTAAAGGAGTACTGAAAAGTAATTGTGTTTATTTTTTTTAAATTTATTTCTGGTAATAAAACCAAGGATTCCTCAAAAGTGCCCTAGGCACTGTAGCCCGAAAATGAGAAGAAATTACAGTTTTAGAGGTGGGAGGAAAAGCCCAGATCTTTTTATTCCAGGGAAAACCCACGGAATCAGGTAGGGACTGAAAACCCAATCCACATATTGGCCCAGGCTGGATTCGATCCCGGATCACAGCGGTGGAAGGCCAGGAAAGTACTGCTACGCCAACCTGACTCCCCTATATGTGTTCCGTATATAATTCACAATTATCAAATAATCTACACTTTTGAGAGTTTACAAGAAAATGTATGACCAGAACTTCACCAACCTGCCATCATATCCTCGGTCTTTTCAATCTTCTTCATGATCAAGTCAGTTCGTCGCTCCTCAACTTCTTTTCTAGCTGACTTGGCTTTCCTGTAAATCACTATGGCGACAATGACAAAGATCAGGAGGACCACCACACTGACTACACACACGAGAACGGTGATGGATGCACTATGGTAGCGGATGTAGCCGATATCAAAAGCCAGGTGTGAGCCATGAAACACCTACACGAGAACAATTCATATATTTTTGTTTTATACCAAAAGGTGTGAGTGCACTGGAAAATAAGTCTTGAGATTATGATGAAGTTTATTTCCTAAGTGATGATTGTTTTTGGTTATATTATGTTTTTTTTTTCATAATGTTCTGAGAACCTTTGAAACAAATTTTGAATAGCGATTCATAACAAGAGAACATGGTTCTATAACTCCTCTCGTTTTATAGTCGTTTATATATATTAATTACACAAGGGTTTTTAAATTATGGAAATCGCCAAGCCCTTTTAATCTTTTTGAAGTGCCCAAATCTTGCAACAATTAGCAAATAATTCCCATTCTAAATATTTGACAAACAGTTTGGTATTACTTGGGGCATCAAATAAGTCACATCAATATTATCATTGGATAACCAGCACTTAAAAAAAAATAATACAATTTCGCATGATTGTTTTCTGCTCTGACCGCTATACAGTGGGCGAACTACTCCCATTATAATAACAGAATAATTCTCACCCGAACAAACGGGAGATTTTTGTCAGTTTTCTTGCCCAGATTATCGCCAGCTTCAGGTTGTGTTTGCGGCAGTACGCAGCCCAAAAATTCACTGGAAAGAGTAACATTGGAACAAACGTCGCGCCCGATGTAGACAGTGATTTCCGTTGCGGTTATTGCAAGATCAAGGAGGTCTCCCTGTTCAGAAAAAAAAAACAGAGAAATGAACATGAAAATGTACCAATCATTTTAATAATTTGTCACATTCTTAAATCTGATCAGTTGTTATCGACTCAGCTCTATTCAGTCGAATGGTGTTGTCTTAAAAAAATCCCTTTTGCTTCATTGCTCATTGTGCCTATCAATATTTTTCAATGTTCATTCCTCCCAATGGTCATACACTGTTATTTCGGTTGTGTACTATATGAACCTAGCAACCAGTTGTGTAAAAAAATTAAACAAGTTGTGTAAAATTTTACACAAGTTTTGTAAACAACAGTTTACACAACGGGTTGCTAGGTTCATATAGTACACAACCGTTTGATTTTTACACAACCGCAATAACAGTGTATTTACTGAGAAATTTTAAACACATCGTAGGCCTTTTGTTATATATCGACTGGTATAAAGAAGGCCGAAAAATACTTGATTGTCCATAATAACACGGTATAATCCCATTGACACATAAAAGACATACCAAGACACCTAAAAAGAAAGACCCAAATGCTTAAATTGAAAAGTCATGCATCCATAATTCTGTGACTCCGAATTCCAAACTTACACGAAGAAGCAAAGTGTCTCCATCCTTGTGAGCAATCCCATCTTCATATTTATATGCAGGATCGTCAAAAGAGAAATATCGAGGATTCTGATAATACTCTAGCAATGTACAGAAACTACATGTAGGATCCGAACTCCAGGCACGAAGGGCCGTCACGCCGTCAAGGATGAAGCCCGTAGAGGTGTTCAAAAAGGCATCGTTAGAAAGTAAATTGCTGGGAAGCTCAATGCTTGGTGAGATGCAGTACATGACGTCGTTACTTTCTATGCTGCAATCCTGAAAGAAAGTTAGTAATATTAACACATATAAATATTCATAAAAATTAAAACACAACAAAAACAACAAGAATCAAATGAATAAAAAAAACTCATTGAATTTGAAAAAAAAAGCTTGAATGTAGAACTTACACGTTATCTTTAAAACAAAATTTGGAACTTTAGATGCATGGGTTGGAGAATGGATAAGAGAGTCCTGTATTTTTTATTATTTTTTTTTTTTGGGGGGGGGAGGTTGTGATTGGCAATGTTCTGTTCACGAATTTGTGACTAATGTATTTTGTCTTTTGCTAATATCTTACCTCAATAAATTCCCGTTGGTTGCTTTGTAGGGTAACTATTATCTGAGGTCGTTGTATGATTGAGAAACCAGATCCCCTGACTTGAAGCTTTCGCCCACCCCTGAATAAAATGAAAATTCTTCTCACTGACATAAATGTAGTTAGGAAATTTTCACAAAGTAGCAGAGTATAAGACATGTGGTACAGCAAAGATGGAACGACTTCAGTCGGAGGGAAGGGAGAGCGGCATAAAAATATGGAGTACAGGAAAATAATCTTGAAGTGTTTGGCATTCCCTAAAATCCCAAGATAAGGCTAAGCCACAAAATCAACATTTACATTATCGTGAATGAATAATTAATGAATGCTTTAAGCGTTACATTCTCGCCTTTTTTAGCCTACAAAAACCCAATCAGGCCATCAGCTGAACATCTGGAAAATTTGCGAGTGTAAAGCGATTATGTTCACTTATAAGAATTATAATCCTTTGGAAGATGGTCTGTCATTAAATCAGTCAATACAGACTATGTGATAAAGTATCTTGTCAATATGACAACATAAGATTCGAGACACCTCTCTCAAGGCTTTTTAGCACGACAACTTTGTGTTTTCCTGCAAGACGCTTAATCAACACCAATATAATTCTATAACAATCATTATAACCCCATTTGACTTACGCCAAGATGCTGGTTGAAGGCTCGATTCCCTCCACCGTTGGATCTTGGGTATAACTAAACTGCCCTTGAGAAAACCGAACGGCACCGTCAAAGAATATGTACAGTGACCAGGAACCAAGCTGGTTGACCTCTGATGTTTGGCAGATAACGCTGTTGTCATTAACCTGGGACCTGGTTGGAAATGGATTATTAATTCACACAAGATGGACATTGGAATCAAAATTGTTGTTTTAATTACAAATATTCTAACATACAACAGTGTGCGTTTTTTAATGGAGAGCAAGGCTTAAGGAAGTGTAAGATATTACCAAGATACTTTTTTTTATGAAACTCAATAGTCACGAACGTCTGGCACGATACCTGTCGAACAAGCAAGGTGTACTGCCGATGGAAACATAAATATTTCTGCCGGTATCAAGGGATTCACCGGAGATTGTCACCCGTGTCCCGCCGGATTGTGGGCCAATCTTCGGGCTAAAATCAGCTAATACTGGGTCCTGAATGAAAGAGAAAAATAGTTGAATTTATCAATAATTAATTTGAAATAATTTGAAGCTCGCACGATCATAAAACTTAATATCTGCTTAAAGGGTCATGAAATGAATTGTTCTTAGGAACACATGTTGTGTAAGGTACCTTTTCTATTCATAAATGTATGAAAACTATTTACGTAAATTTTATTGAAAAGTAGACTTCTTAAAACATTTAAAATTGTCCATGCTTTTCGGACAACTGAGGGCGTTGTTGCTGTGATGTCATTTCAGGAAGACACTGTTCATTTTAGGTGATTTCTGTTCAAATTGTGAATCCCAAAATGTGTTCACTGAAAACATAAATTTAAGGGAAAAGTTTGCTCATCCACTTAACTGCTATGTCCTAACACAACTACGAATCACCAAAGAGAACAAAATTTACAACAACAAAATATCCCAAACTCTGGCAACTTTTTGAGCTGAAATAGCTGTAAGGTTTCTGCCTGAAATGACATCACACTTTTCCCCTTTTTATGGAAATTCGCATTAGCTTAAAAACCAAAGAGGCACACAAAAAAACATTGCAAATGGCAAAATGAAAATTGCAAATGAGGTTAAATGGGGTACAAAGGTGCTTTTCAAGAATTGCATAAAACAAATTATTTGCATGGATGCTTTAATATTTCCCCCCCCCCAAAAAAAACCCCACTAAACTTGTGGTGAGATTTATAGAGGGGTACCTTGTACTGGAACGTAACATATCCATGGCTTAACTGCGATCCACCATTTGCGCCAGTAAGACTCATTCGAAGAAGCTGCGGTCTTGCATCATAACTAGGTCTAGTCTTACATTTCACACTGTAAGTTAAAAAATAGCATCAGAATAACCCCAAAATGACCACAGCGTATTTTGAATGATTAATAAAAGTATAATTTGCATAAACCAATGTTGTCATCTGCCTTTGAAGTGTTACAAACTGTGCCAAAAATAATATTCTTCGATCTTATATTGAAAGAATTATTCTTTCAAAATAAGATGGAAGAATATTATTTTAGGTACAAAAATGCTTTGGTATTGAGACTTTTTTGTCAAATTGCTCCTCCTTATCATTTATGTTGGTGCTTTGATGTGCAAGTAAATGTACCTGTTTCTATTAAAAGAGGTTTATTACAATTTAATGTGAGGTTTATTATTCTTTAATGTGATGTGCATTCAATTACCTGGCGCCGGTTTGGTAGTAGCTCTCCAATCCATATAGGTCACAGGTCTGGCCGCCAACACTGACCTCTTGCACGTCACTGAATCGTCGTCCCATATTCGTGCCCATCACAGTAATTATCGTATTGCCTTCATCAGGTCCAAACAATGGGTGCACCTGTAACAACGTTAAGTCCAGAATTCCCTAGTTAACATGTTCACACATTTTAATTGAGTTTAAAATGCAATTGCTTAAAATGTTCTAATCATGATGTCCGTCCTCTAAAAAGGTCTGGTATCAAGCATGCCGGATACCACTTAAGACAGAAGATCGTGATGTATGTATTTATTCAATTACAGTGAAAATGTCCGACTTCTCATACCTCATATATAACTGGATCGGGGCAGTTGATGGTATTATCCATTGAGACACTCTGAACAGTCGACAAACATGCAGCGCTATCCCATACCCCACAGGTATCCCCACACCACATGCATCCCAGCTCTGCACGGGTAGTTTCGTTAGAAACGCAACGGCTACAGTCAGGACGCAAGACCTCACACTTGTAAAGAGTCACTAGAATGACACAACCAGGTGTCTGCATTAAATGGTATTTCATATTTCCTAAAGCTGGAATATTCTGAAATCACGAAGCTCCTAACTGTCTTTCATTACATTTATATTGATTACCAGCTTCGGATCAGTTGATTCCATATTTGCTTGTGTTTGGTAATAAAGGTAAAAGGTAAAGGAACGAACCTGTTTTCACAGGAACGGAGTGCCCATCTCTCTTTAGCGATTGGGCAAGACTCATATGCTGCTGTGGGGGGATCGCCACACCTCCTCCACAGCGAGTCTGTTACCTTCCCAGCATTGAATAATGCTGGTACCCATTTAACACCTGGGTTGAGAGGAGTAATTGAGGTAAAGCACCTTACTCAAGGGTACAACACGCATGGCCATGATGGGGCTTGAACTCACAACCTCTTGATCATGAATCCTGTGCTCCACCGTTAGACCAAACGTGTCCACGGAACATATTATACGGAATATAAAATCACGAACAAACAAATTATATTTATCGTTTTATGTGCTTCATAGCCGAGTTGAACAGCCAAACCTTGATGACCCAATATGCCATAAACTACATAACAAAGACCTTTAAACTGACCTTTGAACACATGTCTGTCATCTAGACGGTGTATGTTGTTATTCATGTCTGTCCACCACAATGACAGTGTTACGTTCAACTCCTGCTGACTAGTCGAATATTTAACCTGTGGATGTATCAAAAATACCCCATGAGACGAACAGTATTTGAGATTATTGGATTATTACTTAAACAGAAGTTTCAAAAATGTGATAGGAATTTATACCAAATAAGCTAGCAATCGGAACAGAGACAAAAATGATGGTCACAATAGGCACGTACGTCTCAATTATCTACCAGCAAAAATTCAAAAGACTGCCAATATGGGTCAACTCATTGGTAAAAGTCATCGGTAAAATGCACTGCTCACTGATTTTAGGTAACAGGTCACAGTGGCATCCTCTCGGGTTGCATCTACGTACTGATCCATTCCCTCAATGTCAAGACTACATTGGTATCTGGATATCTGAAAAAGAAAGTGTTATGCAAGGATGAAATAAAATAGGGTGAAGCAACTCCAACTTGTACCAGCTAGACTGTGTATGGAAGAATTAAGTGAGGAGAAAATAAATGGAACAGACAGGCATCCTATAGCTGCAGCATCGATAAAATTGAATATTCCTATTGCTGTCGGATTGACATATGATGAGATTTGGTTATTAACTAAGAAGACAAAAAACAACTGACCAGTGCTTGACGTGGCAAATTGGACACGTCAACAGTTACTTCTCTGTTCATGTCATTAGGGATCAGCACTTCATGGTTCTGTGGTTGGAGCTGGGGACATGCGTCAGGACCTTTCATAGACGTTCCGTGACTCTGGGGGAAAAAAAACAGTGTGATAGTCCTAAGATCGATCTAACAGCCATGAAAGGGTATAAAATTATATTTCAGAGTATCGCATCAAAGTATATACATTTTTATTGCCCCGCTCGCTGGCTCCTAAAAATAATAGTGTTTTTCACGCGAATATGGCCGCTGAACTTCCCATCAATAGCAACAGTGCCCCTCTCGCGATAAAACAAATGTCTCTCCACATAACTAGGTAAAAGAAACACAAAAAGCAAGATGGACAACGTATTCATAATTTGTTCTTCGTCATATAGTTTTTATAGCGAAATAAACGGGACCATATTCTTTTCCTCCACTTTTACACCGACGGGAGGTGCCCCTTTTTCTAAGCAAGTGACAGCCTTTTTTGGTGTTGCCCCCAAGTTTGAAAAGCGTTCCGCTGCCCCTGAATGTGTACAAAAAGGCTATAGTTTGCTCTTCCTTGACATGAAATAATCAGTTTTGTCAAAGTGACTTTCATGCTGCTGCATGTTGCAAACGCACTTAACCTAAAGATACGCAAAACATCAGGTATACTTACATTTTGTCCGGTTACAAAGATCTCATTTGGTTTGGAGCAGTGGGAATTATCATGAGTACATTTGTTGTCAAACAAACACCAATTACAGGCCCAGTCACTTCCAACACAAGATACACATCTGAAATTAAAAGACAAACAGATAAGATTATTAGTGAGTTTCATTGAATCATTCACTTTTCGTAATGTAGGGTCATACCCTTTTAGAATAAGTATACTACAGGGTGGTTACAAAAAAAGGAAACTCAAATGGCAGGACCAATTTGTTAATGAAGTTCTACATTAAGAACTTTTAAAATCTAGGATATTAAAGCCCAATTAATAATCTTTATTTTAGTACAAGAATCATTCAAATCACTCTTGTACCTTTTAAGTTACGGAATTTTAAACACGACCGCCGTTTTAAAGTTCTGTCCATGGATCACAAAAAAATGTTCTTTCAGCAAAACGAAAACAATACACAACATCCCTATGTGAAATGTTTTCGTTTTGCTAAAAACACTGACCTTTTGTTACCTGTGGACAGAACTTTAAAACGGTGGTTGTGTTTAATATTCCGTAACTTAAAAAGTACATAATTGATTTGAAAGATGTTTGTACTAAAATAAAGCTTATGAATATGGCTTTTATATCCTAGATTTTGAAAGTGCTACACGCAGAACTTTATTAACAAATTGGTCCTGCTATTGGGGTCTCCTTTTCTTTTTGTTACAAAATAAGCACGGTAGTAAATCCCATTGGTGATAAGGAGGATATGTCCCGCCTCTCACTTTTGAAAAGGAGGATAAGCCGTGAAATCCTCTGATTTGTGTGCCAAATACACAATTAGGAAAGAAATGTAAATTTACCCTGTCAGGACCGGGTTATTATCGGTTCTTCTCAGGACCGATCGAGGGAGGTACATTGTTCCCAACCCTAATTTCCATGTTCATTCGCCGATTTTCTTAAATTTGGCAGGAATACTGGTGGCCGGTTATCTTTAATGTGAAGTCATTTGGTTACGATGCGGTGACCAAAAGACAGCGCTTTATAAAGTTCGGTCAAAACAGTACTTTTTGAAAAAAAAATATCCTTTAACATTTGTTACAAACACACACACGGGGTTAATATCATCAAATAAAACCAATTATAATCATCAAATGTCTACTCTAGAGGGCGCTATACCAAATTCCAATGAATGCAGCTACTTACGTTTTGTGGATGTCACATTCGTAGAAAATGATGTCTTTATGAACAAAGTCCACAGTTGTCTCTGTAGACATAACGCTCAGAGAAACGTTCACGTGATCTTTGAATAAATCAACAATACGTATCACAAAAAAATAGCTAAAATAGTAGCGTTATTAATGTGAATCTAAAATCCAATTGCTGCAATTATTTTGTTTTATGATGAATGTCTTACGATGAACTCAATAACTGTTCTTAATTTCTGAACTGATGGACGTTCCTGGAGGTCGAAGATCTCGAGCAAACAGGTTTTTTTTTTTGCTCCTTTCATAGAAAGATTCCCTCTCAATTTTCATTGAATAAGCAAAGGGCAGTGACTGCACTTTGTTACTCGTCAATTTAATATATGAAAGGCTATTGTTTTGCTTCCAAAATTACTGGAGTAGCGGGGACGGACACAAACAACCACTTCTAATGCAACTTTCAAATGTAGGCACGTGTAGTTCATGGTGCGTTCGTTTGTCCAGTGTGGTAACATAATTTGACGAGATTTTCATAACATGAACTGTGTGTTGAAAGCTTAACTTTTGGGCGGGCTACTCGCTAGCTACCTACCCCGCCTATTAAAGGGAAGTTTGCTAAATTCTGGCTCAATTTCCAAGTATAATTTTCATAACAAAGACACTGAACCTATCTGACCGCTATAGCATTTATAGAACAATTTGGCGGTGGTGCTAGAATATTTGGAGACAAGGAAGGGGTATTTTTTCCGAGATAGGCCTGTGAGATTGAGAACACCTTCAGAAAGAGAATAATGTAGGCCAAACCATGAATCGGATGAGGAATAATGCTATGTTCCACACGTTGTATTTAGGGCGAAATATATGGTAGTTATTTCTAATGATGAGGCGCAATACCTACGGGCATACTGAGTGACCCAAATTGGCCTACAGCAAGAATCTACATGTCTTTTTGAGTATGCAGTATATCATCCTCTGCCCCTTTACTTGTCCCCATCATCCACTGATGAAGTAATTGGGCTCTGCCTCTTCAATCCTTACCTCCAGTCTGTATTGCAGGTATGTTGTTTGCTGGTGGTGTCCTGCAATTGAAGCTATCTCCATTGTAGTTGGTTGCTTGGCTGCTGAACTGATCACCAAACCTACACACATAATGCTCGCCATCAGGCAGATCTGGTAACTGCTGCACTGTCAACGTTATCTAGGGAGATGTTGGGAATCACATTAATTATATATTAAATAATTCATAATGTGCTGTGCATGTTTTAATTTCACAGTTTTGTTTCTTAAACACTGCAGTATGGAATGCTTGGAATTGTCATAAAGTTAATGAACAGCAGACTGACATATCACAGCACCCAACCCTATAACATGTTTGAGACTGCTTTCCAAAATCCCAATAATATAAAGGTCATCTCAGTCTGGGATCCTCTTCTTCAGAATTCTTATCTGCTGATGCATTTTGCAAACTTTTTTGCATTTACTTTTTTCTTCGCACACTCAGTGTTTTCAAAACATTCCCTGTCTATGATGTTTTTGGTAACTTGAATTTGTAGGCCTACCTGTTGGTCAGCGAAAGTGACCGGTAAAACGTCATCTGGAGTGACATTAGTTATCTCAATGCATTGCACATCATTGTAGGCAAGCCAACGTGTTGACACATCATACAGTGGACATTCAGTGTACCTTGCACACCTTTGAAGGGAAAATTAGATTTCAGTTACTCCGATGAGCTCTTTGTAAAAAGAAATCATATAAGTCATCAAACAAGTCTAGCTTTGTGTCCAACAGTAACTGACTAAAGATGGACTGACATTGTTGCATGTTCTACTAAAACCTAAAAGAAAGAACAACATTCCATGTGATTTACCTTCTTTCCAGAGTGCACCATCCACAGTATGGGTCTCCATCATTCCCTGCATCAGTCCCATTACACATCTCACAGGTTGTGTACTGACCACAATTCTCAGCACGCATCTTGATCAACTGATAAGAAATAATTACATTTAACTTAAGACCAGGCATTTAAGGTATCTAAGTATGCAAATCATTACAATTGGACAATGAAGCCTGTTTCACACTAAAAGTTTTGCAGGTGACCATTACTCTTAACTGGAATTCTCTTTTGTTTATTACATTCCTTTTAAGACTTGCAGGTTTCAAACAAAGTTACTTCAATAATATTTAACTTTTAAATGTTGTTTACCTTTTGTTCTGTAAGTATATAAATCTCGGCTGTTGTTTCGTTGAGCATGACATCTCTCATCACTGGATTATAATCAAGTGTTACCTGTTCATACAATCTGGCAAAAGAAACATCCTCAACGTGCACCTGTCGAATAAGATACACATTTATTAGTGTACTCCTTAAAAAAATATAAGGCGGAACAGCAGTCTTTGGTATACTTATCTGGAGTATATCATCTGTTACATCGTTTCCTTAAGATTACAAAGGCAATAAAATTGTACATTTCTGATTGTCGGTGAAGAAGGGAAGGTGTCAGTTTAATCCATCAACACAATGATTGATTGCAGGGTACAGAGAAAGCGAACCCTTTATCACAGAGATTCTGATGTATTCTGTTTGTATGATATTGACTGTATTGCTCATACAAAGTTATATGTGCTTGCAAACAAATTTGATCATTTATCAAGACGCAAAAGCGCGATCTTACTTAGCAGCCATTAATACAGACAGTAACTTTTGGGTGACAAATACCTTCAAGAGTTGCCCTTCTGTTGTTCCGATGAAAGCCACGGTGTGGTTGAGTTCAGTGCTGGTGATAATGGACGACGCTAAATGGCCTAGCAGATGTACGACTGGTGCGCCAACAACTGGAGTTATCCCAGTGGCATATCGGTAATTGTTCCCTGTATTGCAGAGATACGGCCCTGGGCTGACAGTTGTCTAGAAAATAAACAGAACTGAATTACCTTTCCATATTTTCTACATTCACACACATTTGTCCACTCCACCTCTAAATCTGGGGAAATTATGTTAACACTTATGAATGACCTGATCCTATACCTGTATACGTTCATACATTTTATTTTCCGCCGGTGTTCATTCGTATTCAACGAGAAGTTCATCTCGAAATAATCTCTTTCAAAACCCATAATCGACCCACTTTGTTTAAAAATGGACCATTAGGCCAAAAAAAAAATCTCCGGTTTCTGGTATGGAGCTTGCCCCAAAAGTGGTGCGGCGACGCGGCTTTTTTTTTTTTTACCTGTTTTTTTGCAAATGACTGCTGATGACTGCAAATGGTGCCCGACTAAACTTAGTGCAAATATATGGGAGTCCAGACAGGCCACATAAAGCTTATTCTCGATCATAACCCCATCTAAAAACACGTTAAAATTGTGCAGCAGCAGGATTCCAGTCAAACCAGTGAGTTTGGCGGTTTTGAGACATCATCTTGTATTGAAAAAAAAACTTTTTCATTTTGCCGACGCGCATGGCTACGGCGACGCGCGCGCATACCAGAAACCGGAGTCTTTTTTTTTTTTTTTTTGGCCTTACAACGCGGCATCAAATTCTGAAATAGCCTTACAGATACCATAAGATTGTCGGCGTCCCTAAATGTATTTTCACACAAAACCTCAAAATCAATCTGATGACAAACTTTGTATACTTCAATCCTTTGTTATGGTCTGATCTCCTGTTGTTTTTCATTGTATTGTGTTGTTAATTGTAGTCTTGTAATAAGTGTCCTGTCCTTACCTTGTACTTTTATGTTTAATAATGTTAATGTTATTGTAATGTAATACAACAAGGGTGACATAGGAGACGGGATAGAGGGAGGAATAAAAGCCCTTGCCTTCTCTTGACCCCCTATGCTGACATTTCAGTGTATCCATCTTAAAACAAGTTTATCCAAATTTAATTAATGAATGTTAATGTCAGCATGAATAAACCAAAGAAGACTCAGTGAAGACAATTAAAGCTTGCTTTAGGTAGTTTGAGTATGTAGACTCAAGGTTTTAGTAACATGGTAAAGTAAGTAATGTCTGTCACGAGCCAGTGTGGCCCATCAGGCCGGCGTTTATCTCCGGTTTCAGAAGCATGAAACGAATATTGCTACTCCCCCTGGATGGGATGCTAGTCCATCGCAGGTTACTCCCAGCTAATGCCGGTACCCATTTATACTCCTGGATGGAGAGAGGCAATTAGGAGTGAAGTGGCCTGCCCAAGGACACAATGTGTGACCAGCAGCTGGATTCGAACCCCTCTGATCATGACTCACTCACGAACCCCACTAGGCCTCAATCTCCAGTAATATGCACTTCTAAATTCAAAATGTATTACATGTGAATTGTTGCAGTGAACTAGTCTGCTGTGGAACTGGATTAGGTCTGGTTCCAGCTTGGTCCCTTGCAAACACAGCATAAAAATAGCTTATTCTTGTATAGCGCTATTTCTAAGCATACACTATGTCTTAAAGAATAACCGCTGAAAAGTTTGTGTTAACTCGTGCGCGTTCCATCTTAATGTGGGTCAAGTTTGCTTGAAAATAAACTCGTTATCCTACTCGCGAAAAACAAAAATGTAGTGCATCTTGTGTCCCACATACCACTCGACGGTGCACTACATTATTCCGTGTTCCACTCGCGCTAGTGGGATAACTAATATTGCAGTAAACCTCAATTAAATAATGTACCTGGCTACTACAGCTTGTTCCCAAGAATATGCCTATTTCAAAGTCATTATTTCCATCCTGAATACATCCCCTGACAGCCTCGGTGAATGCAGCTTCAATGTCTCTCATCTTGTAAACACACAGTGCAGAGTCAGCCGTGGGAACTGGATTATTACTGGTTCCAGCTTGGTCCCTTGCAAACACAGCATATAACACCTGATCACCTTCTTCCAATGCTAATGACTCGGCCAAATGTGGGCCTGCTGGGCCAACATGAGCAGCCTGTATCAAACTGAACATGCCACTGGTTCCTCTGCACTGAATGAGAATCTCTGTGTAAGAGCGAACATTGTCGGTATTGTGGCAGAGGCGGGTTAGTTTTGAAACATGATCACTTAATGGTGCCAAATCTTCCTTTTGGAAAGTGGCAAAGTAGGTGAACCCTTTCCAATTAAACACACTGACATAACTGATGGGAAATGGATTGCTACCGGCTGTATAGCCACTTGTGAATTGAACTGCATCTGTCCCATTATCGGCAAACATGAACCCTGGGCCACTTGGAACCCCGCGTCTTGCAATAGGTCGAATGTTCAGATAGTCTCTCTCAGTAGAATAAGTATTTGCGATATACAGTCTTGGAGGGCTTGGGCTATCCACAATGATACTTGCTGTTGATTTCGTACCAAATGCTACAACTTGGCCACTCCTGCTTCTTCCATCACCTTCTAGATCATCCAGCCTTCTCAACTGGCACTGATCTGTACTGCCACAAGTGATAAGCATACTAGCATGCAACGCCAGAACCTTATTGTAACTCAAGCAAGTGTCTTCCGAGCATGTGCTAACATTAGTGACCTGTTTCAACTCCTTGTTCAGTTTATACAGGTAATTCACTGCGCCGACGTACACGTCTCCCGTTTCTGGTTGCACAGCAAAATGATCCAGCTGAGTTGTCACCGTTACTGTTTTCTCGATGGGATTGTCAAAGGAGGCTACTTCGTAGTCTGCAAGCGTTCCTGTTCCACTCCACTCCATGCAAACAGACGGGACTAAGCCACCAATGAGAAGCAGTTGAAATGCCAAGATCAAGATTGGTTTAGCTCTGCCTCTGGTTGCCATGGCTCTTGCCTCCTTCTGATCTCAACTGGATTTAAAATACCAGACCGTAGAGTGAGGATCCGCAGCTATTGAATTGAATTCTGTGCATTAATAAAAGGAAGAACAAAAGAATGAAAATTGTATTTAACCAAAGTTATCTTTTTTTAAAGACTGTAAAAGAATAATAATAACCTTGTTTAAGTGGATGTCTGTATCAGATAAAGTCGTAGACATTAAGAGGAATAAGATGTATTTGTAGTCAAAATTCAATAATGTTAATTTCAATCAAAGTTTTTCAGTCATGCCCATATTTATGTGTATATTTACAGACTAACAAGAATGATTTACATATAAGACTACATATCCTTTTATTGGCGTTGCCAATAAACTAATATAAGCGAGCTCCTTATTTATAACGTCTATTACGGATATCAAATAATATAGGTCTAGATTCCATGAATATTATGCTATCGTATTATGCCTCCCATATGCTTGCCTGTATTCTCACCGCACTCGGTTCCTGCCAGTACAAGAAGAAATATTTGTCACCCACACGGAGTACTCACATCCGCACAAATACAACAGGGCGAAAGCAGCCCTTGGTATATATAGGCATATGCATTGGTATGCAAATTTAGAAAGCTAGCGCTCCCGCACGGGAGCTACAATCTACCTTGAACTTGTGTCATCAAGCGAACAAACCTATGACCCGGAGCTCTTTTCCAAAACCAAACTAACGCAGCCCTAACGCTGTACACGCTTACAAGACCTATTATACTGAGGCGGAAATGAATAAGTTAAAAAAAGTAGCAGGGCTAGGGTAGTTGTGAAATTGCCAAACTGGAAAGAAATAATGTAGTACATGTAAGTGTATTGTGATTCGGGCAAAGAGGCAGGCCACAGAATAAAGTTCAAGCGATTTGAAGCAGACGTCAACTATGACAAAAACAAATAAGCAGATCAGGAAAAGAAATACAAGAGTATTATAACATTTTGTCAGGCCTTACTTTATTTCGTTGTTGATATTACATGTAACACGTTAATTTGGGAGCGCATGGAATGTCACTAAATAAGTCTGTAACTCGGAAGAACATCTCGCGATGTAATGGCATCATGACCATCGACAATTCAAATAAAATATTATCACATAACACATAATAGATAAAATGGAAAAGAAAATGAACGCACACGAATATACTCTTGATTAATCAGTATATTTTCTCATCATTCTCGAAACATTCAACCGACCAACCTTAGAATCATCCATTCAGCCAGCTAGTAGGTCAACCAACAAAGTCAGCCAACCGAACAACCAACAAACAAACAAACAAACACCCCAACACCCCAGCAAACAAACAAACAAACCTCGTCGTTGCATCGCTCGTTGTTTTCGATTTCATCCAGGAGCTGCATGCAAGACGAACAAAACAGACTCAATTATTAATTTAGAGTTGGCATTTTGAAAAAAATGCTTTAAAGTGTTATTACATTTTGTAAGGTTCTGTTAAATTGTAGCAAAGTCTTGGGAAAACATTTAAAAAGCACGACCTTTTTAATGAGGAAAAATCAACTCAAGCCTTGTGAATGTGACTAAGTATCTGACTGGTTTGGTATTGATATTAAATCTTTTTAACTATAAAAAGTTGGTGGATATCTGCTGATCGACAACTATAATGGTCGTAGTTACCTTCTAATTGGATCTTTGCACGAGTTGATCCAGGGTGCTCAGTTTACTGAACCAGCCAGTATGGAACCTAAGCTTGTTATCTGCATATTTCTGCACGATGCCTTGTATTATACTTAACCAATAGTCAAGTCAAACGTGCTGCATAACTAGGCTTGCACTTCAGCATTAATGATAATGGTAATGGACAGAATTTTAAGGCAGTAAGTGTAAGAGAAAATCAGAATGCATACAGATTCCCCATAGTAAAAAGATACAGAGGAGAAGCACCAGTTAAGTTTCTTTTATAGGGTGTGATAAAATAGATTTCACGCACCAATCAATATTCCTCTTCAGCTACTGTTAATCTGATGTCAATTGAATCATTTCAAATAATGGTACTATGTAGAGAATAAGTGCATGATGCAAATATGCTTTCTACCTCCAACGCTAGGGGCGCCCTTCCCCAGGAGCAGCTACTTCCTGTTTCACCTTGTTTTCAGTGGAATGTCTGATCTTCTCCTACATAAGTATATTGACACTTGACACTTGTCACAGTTGTGGGAAGGAAATGAGGACTTCGCAAGCATTGTGGGTAGGCTAGTACTTCACAAGCAGTGTTACCGCCATGCTTAATACAGGAACAATTTAGTCATCGTGTGCACGCGGAAGTGTTGACCTCTGGTCACTAATTCCAGGCAATTAATCTTTCTGATGAGTGGTCAAAAAGGGGAGATCCAAGCACCCTTGGTTATTGCAGTGAGGACGAGCGAAACATTGACTGCTTTCCTGCTACTGGGAACGAGGTTGAAATAAACTGTACACGCACGACATGTCGGTGACGTAAACTACAAGACACGTTGATGATGATTGGTCAAAAGTATAGTGCAGTGAAAATCGATCCCAAAAGGCTGCAAACAATATTATGGTATCGATACCAAATAAAGTTTGGCCCACGTTTGTTTCAAACATTAATCTCAGCCTATCCTGACCTGGCATAGGCGCCCAATGCCGAGTCATATAGTCAGGATGTGTTTGTTACATAATAATGACAAACATAAATCGCTTCTGGCGATTCTTCAAATTTTATTTCAGCGTGAATTGGCTTACACAATATACAAGGTAGTACTGTTCGGTATGAACGTTTGAACCCCGCCGCAATTAAGTATGGCTCATGCTTATCTGAATAATGGGCCGGTTCAAGAGCAAGAGACTTTTGGCGCAAGTGAAAAAAAAATGTTTTTCAATTTGACTGGACAAATTGTATCTGAATGAAAATATCGATTCATCTTGTTCAGGGAGTCATCATGATCACAGGTCATCATTGTGCTCCAAAGTGGCAGTTCATAAACATGAAAAAAAACAAGGTTTTCAATTATCTTCATCAATAGTAAAGCACCGACATTGATTGTACTTTCAACCATTATTTTTTGCTATTTACTTACAAATTCCAAACAAACTGACTTTAAATGAAGTCGCCATTAAGTCACCATAAATTTTAAGTATCATTGCAGGTTCTAAAAATACAAATATTCTGTGTATTATAAAAATAGAGCAGATGTATATAAACAAGGAATTGAATAATATTTTAGTAAAAAGACATCATTTTCCCAATGCAAAAATATACATTTCATTACATATGCTCAATATAAATCATTTATTTAAATAAATGAATATGTAAATTACTTGAATTAATGACGTCTTATCACCACACGATACGTTGCACAACCATTTCACATACATGTTCTCTAAGATGTTTGTAAAAAGTGTCAAAAGTTATCTCATCAAATTATAACAGTATGAGACCCCCCACATAGACTCTTGTTTTAAACATTTTTTTGGAAGGTGAAATATACTATACATTTCGAAATGTGGGTTGTACTTCACCATAACAATAAGCTGGCAGTAAAATAAGGGGAGTTCATTCTAGTTAATAACGACATAAATTTAACATTTAAATTTCAGTTTTATCAGAGATAGTTTTTTTAAGTATAAAGGACCAGGACATAAATTGAATGGCATGTGTCTTTCACAAAATTATTTATACCGTATAATAGTTTGCAAATATATATTTCAAACAGCAAGACAAGCACGCATAATTAACTGCTAGTTAAATGATAAGGAGAAAACCTATGAAAATGTATTCATATATTGTCAATGTTTGTTGCCTTAGATATCATCAATTTAAGGCTTTTGAATAACTTGGCATGTAAGTTCTCAAATTAGGCTCGGTTATGTACCTGTGTAAAGTAAATATCTGAATACAGATGCATATATCCGAATACTAATGCAATATATAGACATGAATCTTCTATTGTCTGCATCACTAACATTGCAATAAAAAATAAAAAATTCTCTGCCAAAAAGCAACAATGAACCCTTTTTTTGGTTTGGTCATCAACATTACAATACAAAGAGCAGATCAAAAATAAAATAATCTTACATTTAAAAAACATTCTGAGTAAATATGCCGGTTAATAAAAATAGCACATTTCAGGTCTAAATTCTGGATAAATATGATGTGTAATAAAAACTCCTTCTTTCAGGTCTTCATACTGTTGTCTCCAAAATCGTGTATCAATCGCCATGGTTAGGCTTTGTGAGTCATTTTACCAACTTCCTCTGCGTCGCAGTCTTGATTATCAAGGATAGTCTCCACCTCAACCAGCTTGTAGGGAAGATGCTCATTGTGACAAGCCTCATGATCTTTACAGGCTTCCACTATCTGTGAACAAAGAATGCATATAAAAAAAACATAAGTCAAATTTACCAAATCAAACGATATTCATTTCTGCCATCAGCACAATGCAAGTGCCCTGGCTTGACTTTCATAAGTAGGCCACACAGAGCCTTAAATAATCCGATTAATAAAAACATTTGCCTCTGAGAATGAAGACACCCTCGATTTCTAAAACACAAACATATGGACAACAAACTCACCATGTCTAAATAGTGTATGAAAAGTTTCGCTAAAGCGGTATTTTTTTAAACAGTACATGAAAAGATAAGCTTCAACAAGATATTTTTCGTGAATAATATGGAAAATTTTGAAGGTTTGCAAGTTTCGACCAGCTAAATTTCAAATAAATAAAAAAAAATGGGGGGGGGGAGTTGAAATTCTCTTATATCACACACACACACACCCACACCCATACTTGTTTCACATGACTAGTGTGGACTTTCCATTGCTTTCGTGTAGTTAAGAAAAACCAGTGAAAAAACTCATTTTTCTCAAACTGTGAAAACTCTTTCAACCCAATTTTTTTTCTATGATTCCCTTTAGTGTTTCTCTTCATTCTGCTACAGATAAACCTAACCCAAAAATGCCTCTAAACCTGTTTTCCAGAAATGGGGAAACACTGTGTGGACGTG